AGGTTCAAGCGATTCTCCTGCCTCAGCCTCCCAAGTAGCTGGGACTACAGGGACATGCCACCATTCCCAGCTAATTTTTACATTTATTGTACAGACAGGGTTTCACCATGTTGGCCAGGCTGGTCTCAAACTCCTAACCTCAAGTGATCTGCCAGCCTTGGTGTCTTGCTGGGATTACAGGTGTGAGCCACCTCACCCAGCACTTTGGGATTGATTTATTGGAGTGAAAAAGGAGGGCCTGCGGTGGTGGGGATGTGGGGGAAGAGAGGGAGAGAGGGCAGTGAGCTCATAGACTCCTACAAGTCTCAGTTTAAACAAAAAGCCCTCAGATACATATACGGCACCACTTATGGAAGGAGGATCATATCCGTGTCAGATGAAAAAGAATAAATCCATATAGGCCGGGCACAGTGGCTCACACCTGTAATCCCAGCACTTTGGGAGGCCAAGGCTGGTGGATCACCTGAGGTCAGGAGTTTAAGACCAGCCTGACCAACGTGGTGAAACCCTGTCTGTACTAAAAAATATTAGTCAGGTATGGTGGCGCATGCCTGTAGTCCCAGCTACTCGGGAGGCTGAGGCAGGAGAATCACTTGAACCTGGGAGGTGGAGGTCCTCAGTGAGCCAAGATCATGCCACTGCACTCCAGAATGGGCAACAGAGTGAGATTCTGTCTCAAAAACAAACAAACAAAAAAACTAAAATCCATAGAAATCTACATTAGTCATAACTGTTTTCTGAGACGTCCCAGACACCGCAGTCCTGCTGATGCTCATGGTCATCTTCACAGACTATCCAGGCTTCTGTTACAGTCCTGAGGGAGACGCGAAAGCATTCTCTGGCTCTAAAGAAGGTTCTGCTCCGCATCGGCTGAGAAGAAAATCGGGTAAATAGGATATTGTCATACAGCTTTAATAGTAGGGGGCACTGACAATGAAAGTCTCTTTGAGCCTGACAAGAAGGCATGTTCTGTCTGCTTTCTGAGCTCACTGATGGTCTGAATACATTTGAGGCTGCCTTAAGATGGGACTCGCAAGCGTTTGTCCTAAAACTCTTTTCTTTGTAATCCCAGCACTTTGAGAGGTTGAGGCAGATGGATCACCTTAGGTCAAGAGTTCAAAACCAGCTTGGCCAACAAGGTGAACCTCGTCTCTAGTAAATATATAAAAATTAGCCAGGTGTGGTGGCAAGTGCCTATAATCCTAGCTATTTGGGATGCTGAGGCAAAAGAATCCCTTGAACCCGAGAGGTGGAGGTTTCAGTGACCAAGATCATGCCACTGCACTTCAGCCTAGGCGGCAGAGTGAGACTCTGTCTCAGAACAAACAAACAAACAAAAAAACTATTTCTATTTAATATCTCCCAGTGAATATCAAGCATGCCAGCCAACTACTTTTGCTTTGTACAGCGTCTTAATATTGGCCTGCAGACACTTAAACCGTGTTTGCTGTTGCTAATGAAAAATCACATCCTGTGAGTGACACACACAAAAGATACCCAAAGCTCAGGTTTTAATTCATGTTTGCTGCACCAGACTCCATGAAGTATTGTCTTAGTTCAGACATGTTTTGGGTTTTATTTGAAGCAGTCTTTTTTTGTAACATACTTTATGCTTTGCTAAGGTCTAGGAATGCAAGGACAAATAATCCTTGTGACTCCTGCTTGTAAGGAGCTAATGGTGGGAGAGACAAAAAATGCAAATAAGGCCGGGCACGGTGGCTCACACTTGTAATCCCAGCACTTGGGAGGCTGAGGCGGGAGGATCACCTGAGGGCGGGAGTTTGAGACCAGCCTGGCCAACATGGTGAAACCCTGTCTCTACTAAAAATACAAACATTAGCTGGGTGTGGTGGTGCATGCCTGTAATCCCAGCTACTTAGGAGGCTGAGGCAGGAGAATCACCTGAACCCAGGAAGCAGAGGTTGCAGTGAGCTGAGATGGCACCATTGCACTCCAGCCTTGGGGAACAAGAGTGAAACTCCGTCTAAAAAAAAAAAAAAGAATATACAATTGAACGTCATCAACTTGTAGGTGTTAGTGAATGCTGAGGAAGCCGCTCTGCTAGTGACAGGATTGATAAAGTCAGATTTTGCTTTTCTATCATGCAACTTCTGATAACACAGCGTAACATTTATTGTAACATTTTAGCAGAGTGAGCATCTTGTTCCTATGTATCTCTGAGCCATGGGGATTTTGCTAAATTTGAAACAAAAGTTCTAGAGCTCTGTTAATCTGTCAATAGACTTGTAATCCTTTCATAAAGAAAAGGGTTTGATTTGGTTTTGCCAATGATGCTGGCTTTGTTTTGTCTCCCAGAACCTTCCTCACGATCACATAAAGTTTTGAAGACCAGTGGTAAGTCGTAAAATATATTTTCCTGTTTCATTCTTGTTGATATTCACTAAATCAAACCACACAAAAATAAATAGATTAATTACAGATGGACAGGTTTGATTTGATTACACAAAGATTAACTTCTATAAACAAAAAAGGCCAGGCACAGTGGCTCACACCTGTAATCCCAGCCCTTTGGGAAGCCAAGGCAGGTGACTGTCTCGAGGCCAGGGCTTTGAGACTAGCGGGGACAACATGGTGAAACCCCATCTCTACTAAAGATAAAAAAATTAGCCAGGCCTGGTGGCTCATGCCTGTAATCCCAGCTACTTGGGAGGCTGAGGCAGGAGAATCACTTGAACCTGGGAAGCAGAAGTTGCAGTGAGCTGAGATGGCACTATTGCACCCAGCCTGGGCAGCAGAGTGAGACTCTGTCTCAAATAATAATAATAACAATAAAATTTTAAATAAAATGTACAGTCAAATGACATAAAATACTTGTAGTATATTTGACAGGCATAAAGACATTAATATTCCTATTGTATAAACCCCATACATCAAAAAGAAAAGACAAAGGACTCTGTACAGTCTACATGACATAAAATACTTGTAGTATATTTGACAGGCATAAAGACATTAATATTTCTATTGTATAAACCCCATACATCAAAAAGAAAAGACAAAGGACTCTTTAAGAAAGAAATTCAGAGAATATATTTGGGCAGTTTCATAAAACACACAAACTGCCAATAAAACTTTTAAATAGTCATCCATATTCATAATCTGAAAAACCATACATTTAAATGAAATAAATATAAGGGAAAAAACTATGAGGTTAGCCAAAACATGGAAAAATCATCACTCCCACTGAGCTCAGTAGCTCACGCCTGTAATCCCAGCACTTTGAGAGGCTGAGGTGGGCGGATCACATGATGTCAGGAGTTCAAGACCAGCCTGGCCAACGTGGTGAAACCCCACCTCTACTAAAACTACAAAAATTAGCCGGGGATGGTGGCAGGCACCTGTGATCCCAGCTACTTGGGAGGCTGAGGCAGGAGAATCATTTGGACCTGGGAGGTGGAGGTTACAGTGAGCCAAGATCGCGCCCTTGCTCTCCAACCTGGGCGACAAGAGTGAAAAACCCCTCCTCAAAAAAAAAAAAAAAATCACTCTAAAATTATTGGTGGGAGTGTAAATTTTTGCAGCGCTTCAGGGGCAAAGTTTGGTAATGGACATTTAAAATGTACATTTGCCCTTAACCCAACAGTTTCACCTGCACAGATGTACTTACTCACATGTGGACAGATTTATGTACAAGTTTGTTCTGTGCAGTATTTGTAATAGGACACTCTATAAAAATGTCCATGCAGTAAAAAACATATTTAAAGAAATTGTAGTACATCCTTACACACAATAGAATATTCCACAGCTGTCAAAAATAAAGCAGATCCCTACCTGTTCACAAAAGTGTCTTCAAATATTTAGCAGAATATACAGAGTTACATATTGCATTCTTATTTTAAAAGTGAAACAGGCCAGGCATGGTGGCTCACACCTGCAATCCCAGCACTTTGAGAGGCTGAGGAGGCTGGATCACTTGAGGTCGGGAGTTCGAGACCAACCTGGGCAACATGGCAAGACCCCATCTCAACTACAAATACAAAAATTAGCGGGGTGTGGTTGCTCATGCCTGTAATCCCAGCTACTGGGGAGGCTGAGACACAAGAATTGCTTGAACCTGGGAGACAGAGGCTGCAGTGAGCCAAGACTGTGCCACTGCACTCTTAGCCTGGATGACAGAGCAAGACTCTGTCTCAAAAAAGAAAAAAAAAAAAAAAAAGGCAAAACAGTCATTGTAGCGGGGTGGGGCAGTGCAGGAGCTGGAAAGATAAACATTCAGCTGTTAACTCTTGTTACCTTGGGGGTGGGATCCGTGGGGAGGGAAGGACTTCATATGCTTGTGTAATCATGTTTAAAGACGAGACACCCATAATCAGGCTAGCTATAAGGGTCTTCTGTGAGGATGTGGCTATGTCAGTCTCTCCCCACAATTCACTTGCCGCACTCCTTTGTTGCAAGAAGGCTGCATCTTTCAGTTAAAACCAATAAAATGTGGAAAAATCAACAGAAGCAGCAGCATCTTGACATGATTGTATGGCCTAGGGTGTGTGCATTTTTTCTTCAGGAAACAACATATTTTTGTTCAGAAGCTTTTGGAACATTTTGAATACGAGTTAGTTCATGGCTGTCAGGGATCCAGGAAGATGCCTAACGCTCAGATGCATATAGCGTAGCGGGTATGCAGCTGGCAGAGCTGACAGCTGTTTTCCAAACATTAGATCTATAGGGCCCCGAAGTCACATGGGCTTCAATTATTAGTAACAAGTTTCTAAGTCCTATAAAACATTAGTGCTTACTTATATAGGAAGTACATTTTTGTTCTCAAACTTGAAAAAAAAACCTTTTGTTTTTCAGAAACAACACAAGACATCCGAAAGGTAAGTTCTGTCACATTTCTTACTTGGAAATGTTCATTTCAGACACCCTTCATCTGTGTCACTTCCCCATCTCTCTGATCCCCAGCCCGTATTCCAAGTGTCAACAATCATTTTACATTTTGGAAATTTGGTATTTTAAATTTTGAATTATTTATATTTGATTTAAGCAAAGACTCATCCTTAGCGACGTCTTCCCTTCCCCCACCCACATCTGAGAAGCAAGATGATTATTTATTCACCCTCTGCCCTACACCCCACCTCAGAGGCTGTAACCTTACCTGAGGGTGTCGTATCTGCCTAGTGCTCACGTGAGCCACCTCACATTGTCCTTTGCCTCCACCGGTGTAAGACCAAAGCCCCTGCCTCCTGGATATGACTCCCTCCTTCAAGCACGAGCCTTCGTTCACAAGGGCTAGAGGCCCCCTTCTAAGAATGTGGTTCTGCGCCGACATGAGAGGTGATGACATGCGATTGAATAAGACTTTGCCATATCAAGTTTTGATTGTTCTTCCCCTGACAAAAGCTTAGGAGAGGGAGAATAAGAATGGTATACTGTATTGGGAGATACTATATCCAACTGTATTACCTATGGAGAACAGGTATTTTCTCCTGGGCAGAGTGGGTTGTCCAGTGTGGCTACTGATCAGTTGGCTTAATTAACAATTCTTAGAGAAATGGTCATGGTTCCTTGTTTAATGTTGTGTATCTAGAAGAATATGGCTATTAAAATCTCTCCTGGCTGGGCACAAGGCTCATGCCTGTAATCCCAGCACTTTGGGAGGCCGAGACAAGTGGATCACCTGAGGTCGGGAGTTCGAGACCAGCCTGGCCAACATGGTGAAACCCCGTCTCTACTCTAAAAATGTAAAAATTAAAGACTATACTTTCAGGGATCATTTCTGTAGTTTGTTACTAGAGAAGTTTCTCTGAACATGTAGAACACCATTAAAGAAATTTAAATATTTTAAAAATTTTAAAAATACAAAAATTAGCCAGGCGTGGTGGTGCGTGTCTGTAATCACAGCTACTTGGGAGGCTGAGGCAGGAGAATTGCTTGAAACTGGAAGGTGGAGGTTGCAGTGAGCCAAGATTGCACCACTGCACTCCAGCCTGGGCGACAGAGCGAAATTCCATCTCAAAAATAATAATAATAGCAATAATAATAAACACCCAGCCAGGTGCAGTGGCTCACACCTGTAGTGCCAGCTACTTGGGAGGCTGAGGTGGGAGGATTGCTTGAGCCCAGGAGTTTGAGATCAGCTTGGGTAACACAGCAAGACCCCATCTCAGAAAAAAATAAAAGAATATTAAAGTTGGCCGGCGCAGTGGCTCACGCCTGTAATCCCAGCGCTTTGGGAGGCCGAGGCGGGTGGATTACCTGAGGTCAGGAGTTCGAGACCGGTCTGACCAACATAGTGAAACCCTGTCTCAAAAATAAATAAATAAAAATACAATTAAAAAAGAGAATATTAAAGTCTAGTTGGCAAAGGCAACATGTAAACACAGGAGAAATTCCTGAGCTATGTGTCTTCTCCATGGTGCTGTCATTCAGCTGATATGTTTCCATCTTCCTCAGGTTTCTAGAGAGGAAGGATCTCCCCAGCTGACTTCAGCAAGGCCATCTCCTGCCCAGAGAAACAGTCAGCCTAGCAGTTCTGCCATGATCAACGTGCTTCGAGCAGGTGGAGCCATCAGAAACATCTGGACTGATCACCAGATCAGGCAAGCCTTGTTTCCTAGCCGACGGTCCCCGCAGGAGAACGAGGACGACGAAGATGATTATCAGATGTTCGTGCCATCCTTTTCCTCTTCAGATCTAAACTCTACCAGACTCTGTGAAGACAGCACTTCTAGTCGCCCTTGCAGCTGGCATATGGGACAGATTGAGTCCACTGAGACCTCCAGCTCTGGTCACAGGGTTGTCAGGCGGGCCAGCAGTGCTGGGGAGAGCAACACCTGCCCTCCTGAAATAAGAACTAGTGACAGAACGAGGGAACTGCAGAACGGCCTCAAAACAGAAGGGCAGGAGGAGAGGACTCCCTTTGGGTCATCCGTAGAGTTGACTATTGATGACATAGACCATGTCTATGATAACATCAGTTATGAGGACTTAAAACTGATGGCTGCTAAGCGGGAGGAAGCTGAATCCACTCCCTCCAAATCAGTCCGGGACTCCGTTCGCCCCAAGAGCACCCCAGAGCTAGCCTTCACGAAGAGGCAAGCTGGCCACAGTAACGGCTCTCTTTACGCACAAAAGGATGGCGCGCTTTCAGGTGGAGAGGCATCCAGCCAGAGCACGCGTGAACTCCAGGTGGTTGAGGAGAACATCTACGATACCATAGGGCGCCCACGTCCTCTGTCGCTGGGTTTTAAGTCCAGCGGCCTAAAACTTGCCAAGCGGAGCAGCTTTTTGGATCTGGAGGCCGACTTCGTGTGTTGTGACAGCCTGAGGCCATTTGTTTCCCAAGGTAGCCTCCAGTTCAGTGAGGACGAAGCTCCTTACCACCAGGCCTCCCCCTATCATGAATATCTGACTTTCCTCTATGACTCCACCAGCTGTAACTTCTCCACGCCCGAGAAGTCTGTATCTGATCAACTGTCCGAAGAAGTCGATGAAATCTGGAATGACCTGGAAAATTACATCAAGAAAAACGAAGACAAGGCCAGAGACCGTCTCCTTGCAGCGTTTCCTGTGAGCAAGGATGACGTGCCGGACAGGCTGCACGCAGAGAGCACCCCTGAGCTGAGCCGGGACGCGGGGCGCGCTGTGTCCACACTGTCCCTGCCTGAGAGCCAGGCTCTCCTCACGCATGTGAAGAGCAGGCCCGGCAGAGCCAGCCGCGCCAACTGTCCCTTTGAGGAAGACCTCATTTCTAAAGAAGACTCCTTTCTGAGCCTCAACCGGATCTCTCTGGCCAGTGAGATGCCCCTCATGGACAATCCCTACGACCTGGCCGGCTGTGGCCTGTCTCAAACAGACCCAGAAAACCCTGACCCGGGGCTGGAGGCCATAGATAAGACAAAAAGCAGGGTGTTTATGATGGCTCGGCAGTACAGTCAGAAGATTAAGAAGGCAAATCAACTTTTAAAAGTGAAAAGTCCGGAACTGGAGCAGCCGCCAGCCAGCCAGCATCAGAAATCTGTGCACAAAGACCTGGCTGCCATCTTGGAAGAGAAGAAGCAAGGAGGGCCCGCCATTGGTATGTGCACCCTGACCTTCCTTCTCCACAGTAAGAGGCGGTTTTCAGATTTCAGATGTCCTTAAAACAGACACACCTGTGAGAATACTGACACTCAAGCTTTGTGATCTCAAAGGCCACAGACAGAGCATACAGGCCTTCCGCCACTTCACCTCCACTGAATTCTGCACATTGTGGTGTGATTTGGCCTCAGAGGGTGGTGGTGTGTGTGTAATGTCGTAACTACAGAGATAATATTTTAAGAAATAATTTTCTCTAAGATAATCTAAAGTACGAAAAAAGTAATCAGTTTTAACCTGTGACATTTCCAATTTTTCTGGTATATCAGTAATTTCTTATGGGGAGGAGTGGTGTGTGTGATCATCTAAGGTTTGGAAGCATATAGAATAACGTTGTTTCTTGCTTCAGGATCTCAACAAAAATGCCTACTCCTGCTAACAAAAAGAGAGGATTTTTTTGCACACTTTTTTTTTTTTTGAGACAGAGTCTCGCTCTGTCACCCAGGCTGGAGTGCAATGGCGTGGTCTTGGCTACCTCCGCCTTCTGGATTCAAGCGATTCTCCTGCCTCAGCCTCCTGATAGCTGGGATTACAGGTGCATGCCACCACACCTGGCTAATTTTGGCCAGGCTGGTCTTGAACTCCTGACCTCATGATCCACCCACCTTGGCCTCCCTAAATGCTGGGATTACAGGCATGAGCCACTGTGCCTGGCAGCACACTTTTTTTTTTTTCTGAGACAGGATCTCACTGTCACCCAAGCTGCAGTGAAATGACACAGTCACAGCTCACTACCGCCTCAACCTCCCCAGGCTCGAGCAGTCCTCCCACCTCAGCCTCCTGAGTAACTGGGACTAGAGGCACTCCCCACGACACTCAGCTACTTTTCTTTTTTTTTGTAGAGAAAGGGTTTCATATGGCAGGTAGTCCACTTAAAAAAAAAAAAAAAGAAAAGTAAGTTAGTTTAAAAAAAAAAAAAAGAAAGGGTTTCACCATGTTGCTCAGGCTGGTCTCAGTTTCTATGCCCAAGCAATCCTCTTGCCTCAGCCTCCCAAAATGCTGGGATTACAGATGTGAACCACCACCCCAGCCATTGTACTTTCTGTAGCTGCTCACACTGTAAATCAGTTGTTTTCTCACATATTTCCATTACTAATTTTTTTTTTTTTTTTTAGATAGGATCTGACTCGGTCACCCAGGCAGGAGTGCAGTAGCATGAACATGGCTCACTGCAGCCTCTGCCTCCTGGGCTCAGGTGATCCTCCCGCGTCAGCCTCTCTAGCAGCTAGCACTACAGATGTGCACCACCACATCCCACTGATTGTTTTGTTTTGTTTTGTTTTGTTTTTTGTAGAGATGGGATTTCATCATGTTACCCAGGTTGCTCTCAAACTCCTGGGCTCGAGTGATCCTCCCACTTTGGCCTCCCAAAATGCTACTATTACAGTTGTGAGCCACCACACCTGGCCTGCTACTCAAGTTTTTGAAAGAGCTGCTATAATGCATTTTACACTATCTCATTTCGTTTTTCATATATGCTTCTGAGTTTAATGCTTTAGTTAGACTCCTTTGTGGGGCACACCAAACCAGAATCTTAGGTATAATATTGGTAAGATCAGGACTATGGGAATGAGATGCTCGTGGTTTGACTTTTCTGAAGGCTAGAATTTGACACTGATCTCCGGGGAAGAGCATAGCTGTGAATAAAGTCCCTGATTGTCATGGAAAGAAAAGTCCAAGGGTAGTGGCTCTTGCCTGAGGAGCTTTTACCGCCAGACACAGAGAGGTTTCTGGCTATAGGCCTAGGAATATGCATTTCGAACAGTTATGGCCTTCTCATCATATTTTAAGAAATCCTGCCCCAGATTTTCTAACAAAGGACCACCTCAGTATCAAATGAGAGAGTCTGTTCTACAATTAAAAGTAAAAGCTGGTTGATGGCTTAGTTTCAGGACAGACTCAGATAATTAGCTTCATTAACAGCACATTGGGACAGGTTGATGACACTGAACTATTAAATCCTGTCTTGGGAATTGACTTACTGACCTTGATGGAAACTGAAGAATAGGAAGGGGGTATCCACATCTTGAATGAATCCACAAGTTGCACAACAAGAATCTGTAGGGAACTTATTTTTTTTAAGTTTGGGAGTATTTAAGAATTATCTAAAGTTTTAGTCTTCAGTACAGTTTCTTAACAGATAGGGAAATGAAATTCTTGAATTGATGCCTGAAGGATTTCACAGACTCTGAGTTCTTCTTCTTCTTCTTAATGAAATGAAGGTTAACAGTGATTTTTGTATGCATGTGAGACTAGAATGCATGTGTTTTTCTCCTTGCAATGATGCACTATGAGTAATTCAAGTCCCTTTTCCGACGCTAGTGTTGCTGAGGTGGTTTACTGTTACAGACAAAGTGGCTGAGTTCCAGCTGCAGGAGAACAGTTTTGGTGGAGCAGGGAACATACGGCCTGAGAAACAGTTGTACGTTGGCAACTGCAAGCGTTGACTAAGTCTGGGTTGGGGCTCCTCAGAATAAGAAACTGTAATGCTGAAGTGTTGGATGATGATGGCTTATGCCCACAGACTGCCATTGAAAAAGTGGTAATGCCCTGGGCCAGGCTGTTTTGAATATGGACCATCTGTTAAAATACAAAGCTCCAATCTTGATAGAATCACATCCTTTGATACTGAATCATCAGGGCCTGTGACTACCTCAAATAGTCTTCTTTTTTACCCACCTTCTACGTATGAAATGATTCCACACTGGGGTTTCCTTTTCACTTTCGGTTGGCTCTCCTTTTTGTTTTTCCTGCTGGTGCTGTCTTGGGATCCTCCAGGATCTTTTCTCAGCTTTGCACCGGGGTCCTTTCTTGACACGGTGGGCTCCCGTCGACGTTCTCCCCAACAAGGGGGAGGGAGTCTCTCCAGAGTCATCTTCTGAGAGTGCAGTCTTCCCCGCCGCCTGCCAGGGGCTCGTCCCTAGGGCCTGCAAAGTTATATCCACACCTCCTCCAGCTGGGTGATGGAGACCACTTCCTGTGCCCAACAGGCTTTCCAGCAGTTGACATGATGACTCCTTTTCTCTTTCTTGTTTATCTGGGCACAGGACGTCGTAATCGAATGGACCGATTCTCCAGACTTCTCCGAGTGGGCCTTGCCGCTTTGCCAGGAGCTTGCTCTCGGTGCTGTGCGGAAGGAGGAGCATCTTACTCACCTGCCGAAACTCTCGAGCATCTTTATTGAACTCTCTAGCCGGGGTCTCCAGGCCCCAGGTCCAATTTCCGCCTATAAATCACCCAACCAGGTCCAGTTGCTCCCACATCTTAGCATGTGGCCTGTCATAGCATGCTGGCCATCTTGATCCATCAGACCTCCCTCTGGATAGGCATTGAGACAAAGGAGGCCTTTGGGTTTCTGGGTATTTGGTGATATTTCACATGGGAGAAAACTCCATACAGGCTTAAGAAATGTTCCTCCCGTGTAGAGTAAGGAAGGCACAATTTTATGCTTTTGTCTACAGCTCGAGCAACATCAGAAACGTTGATTTTAATCCTCTGTCTAGAAAACAGTATGTTCGATATTTCCCTTGGCAAAGATTATTCTAAATTTTTTTTTTTTTTTTTTTTTTTTTTTTTTTTTTTTTTTTTTTTTTT